AGAGGCAGTTTGCATGAGGCAAGGGGTGTTTTTAATTGCACAACATGCGTTTTCCCCCTCTGAATGCCACCAAACACAAGCCAAAACCAAAAGAAATACAGAATATTCATGTAAAGGCTTCCACATAAATAAACAACAGGGCTCGCCCCAGAAGGATCAATCTGAAGCCCAGCACCATCAGCCTGGGTTTCTTCGACGCGTTGCATGTGGGCTCTGCAGTCGGGGGTCCAAGTTTAGCTTTGCAGATTTATGTAAAACATTGGGATCTTGGGGTTGGACCTGGTCCTCCTGCCTCTAGTTACCCTTTACGAGTCAGTCTACATCACGTTAAGATCTCAGCAAATTTTGGAAAGCTCTGGAATGACCATTCCCTACTTGGTGTTTTTTTTTTTTTTTTTGAAATGCCAAGAAGAAGAAAAATATATATTTTTAAAAAGCTGCCTATATTTCACAAATGAATTAAAATTTATCTTTTAAGACATTATTTGTATTGATTTGATCACAGACTCCTTTTTTTTCAGTCCATGATGAAGGCTGGAGCAGGCCATTTTGTCTGCTTATGTTGCATATAAAATTATTCAAAGAAAAAAGTCAATACTCTTTGCTTCTGCACTGTCATTTTTTTTACTCCCGATCCATGATTTGTTATGACCTCAAGGTCAAGACTATCGAAGTTTTTAGTGTAACCTGACAAATTCTCTGTGTTGACTCTGTCTTACAGGATCTTTCATTTCTTCAATTAAGCAGCTGAAAATGGATACTGCCTGCACTCTCGTATTTATTGGGTCGGTAAAGTCCCCAATAATTAATGCTGTGCTGATGACAAACGGCATGCCAGGGAGCTGACAGCCCGGGGATGTTTTTAGGTCACCTTTAGGCAGTATGATGCAGGACTCTGTTCCCTAGGTTGGAAGTCCCCAATAAATAGACCAAACACATGATCATTTCTTTCCTAATCCTGTTGCGTTAATTACATCAAGCTAATGAACAAAGAGAAGCTAATTAGCGTGCTGATGGATTTCCAATCAAGCGGGAAGGAGGGCTTGTGGAAAATGCTCGGCGAGACCCAAGTATCCTTCTTACCACCATGCCTGCAACGTAAAAAAATAAGGAAAACTCCCCAAAATGAGGTCTGCAGCATCTCCATGGCTACAGAGGGAGGTAAAAGCAGATCAAAACATGCGGGCTTATAAAGCTCAACTTGGTCTAACATCTTGGGAAGTTTTTGGTGGGACACGAGCACCTCTATAACTTCAGTTTGCTGCGCCGAGCGAGGGGCCCTCGCTCCCGGCCAGCACAGACCCCATTTCCTTGGGTTTTGTCCCATTTTAGCTCTTCTCGTGTCGCAGACACCAGGGCAGGTGAAACCCGAGGCGGCCGGGGGCTTTGTGCGGTTTCAAAGCCGCTAGAACAAGGGTGCTGTTGTGCCCCACGCCGGCGCGACCGCGGCCTCAATAGCCGCCTAATGACGGGGTGGTTTTGCCTTGTGGTTGGCTTCCCGCTCCCATTTTCCGCAGGCCTCCGTGGCGAAGAAAGCCGTGTTTTGCTTTCCCATGATAGCTGCCGCGAGGAAGATGTTATCGGGAGCGTCTCCGTGGGAGGAAGGGCAGGGAAGGATCGCATGGCAAGGAGCTGCGCCCGGCCGGCCCGAGGCACAAAGGGGCCGAACGTGAGAACGGGGCCGTTTCGCCGGGAGACGCGACGAGATGCCGAATTCCAGACTTGCAAATGCCGAGAGGGGAATTTGTTCGACTTACGTGTCCCACAAGGATGAATTTTGCCATTCCTACAGCACCGGGCACCCCAGGGGACAGTCAACAAAGTGGACCCCATAGGCGACTGCTGACAAATAACTTCCTTATTGGTGCTTATAATAAACAACCACCCTCCCCTGAATATATTTACAATATCAACAGCTTCTCCAAGTTAGGGATTACTACTATAAATACAAAAACAAGAGTTACTCAAAAACTGCTCCAGAACCAGCGCCAACCCCTCCAAGAAGGGCGACCAAATAAAGTCACTATTTTCCTCTTCTAGCACTTGGATTACCGAAAAGATCTGAGTGATTTTAACTCGCAGGCACTTGGGCAGTGCTTAGTGCTCTGCTGGCTCCAGCCTGTGATTAGCAGACTTCCCATCCACAGCTGCAAATTGAATGGGCCCTGCTAATTAGGTCTTCCTGAATGGATTTATTTAAATTACATTCATCAGTATGGTCAAGGAGTGCAAATGGCATTTTGTAATTCGCTTAGCAATTTGTTATGTAACGGTGAGTATTGTTTGCATGCAGGGGCTGAGCTCGACAAAAGTAGGGGCATTTGAGACAGTCTTATCTTCAAAAGGATCTTCTAAGCTCCAGCACATCCAAATGTTTGCTCTGTGTTTTATGCTGCCCACAGCTTTTACTGGGTAGACTCCCATAGTATTTATACATTCTTAGGACCAAAAGAATCTGTAAAATGGAAAGGCCAGACCTGTAATTTTGTGTAATTGGCCTGAGTGAATACATTAAAAGCAGCAAATTATTAAGGGTATTCAGTGCTCAGTGGCTTTAGCCGATACCTGAACTGGATGAGAATCGGTGGTGCTGATGGAGTAATGATGGGCATTTTGAGCAAAGGCAGGTGCTGATGCAGCCAACAGGTGCTCAGTGCATTAATGGATATTTAATCCAAGCCTCTCCCTGTCACCATGTGGAGCTGGTGTCTGTCTCCTGCTGTCCTCCTGCTCCACACTTGGGCCTTCATGCCCCTTCATTCCTCAGCAAGTTCAATGCAGCCCTATTTCAAGAGTAATTAATGCCTCCTGCAACGTTAGTGTGAAGGTGCAGCAGAAATGTCACATCTCGCAGACACCGAGGAGGAAAGCAAGCCATCAGTGCCAGCCCCTGCGTGGGGACACGTCCTGGAGCCGTCGCAGGGGTTAACAAAAACCCAAACTCCCTAATGGAAA